GAGGGAGGGAGATGCATAAGTTCATTGGTCATTTCACTAGACAAGAGTCTTTGAGAGGGAGCTGGAGAATTCTGAATTTCTAGAAGTTTATTTTGGTTTGGATTCTTCATGCTGGTTTGATACTTTACTTAGTAATAAAACGCCATCACCTTTGGCAGTTTTTCTCATTTTATTTATTTGTACATCATACTTCCAAGTTACAACTTTCGGAGACTATAACAACTGAGCGGAGACTTAAGCTGAGCCCTCGCTAAGTAACTGGAGACTCTCCTCTCTGACACACATAGGCTATATCCCATAGTTCCACCTTAACTAGTGAGCAGTTTCCATCTAGAGTGATGATTCAAGAGTCACGCAGCTTTGTTGAAACTGAAAAGAATGGCATATTGAATTAACATGGTCTGTCATCTGTGTAAGGGGGCTATGCATGGTGGCACGCCTATGACTTTTTTGTCAACCTTACTTCTGTACAATACTTAAACTGGATTTCTATGGAAAGCTAACAATTCGCTTGCCCAGAAAGTTAAATAATCTCAACAGAATTAAAAAGTACTACAGAATCACCTAATATCAACTAAATCCCTATTAAAGTCTTTACAAACTATTCAACTACATGAAATCCTCATCTAACAAGAAAAGTTCCAAACGCAAAGGTTAAAGACACAGCTGACAAAACAGAAGCACAAAAGAACTCTGAGAAGCCAACCTGAATTTCTTTACCCTTCACTCAAACCCTGTAGTTTTATTTTAGTTGGGTGGTTCCCTACCCATATCGAAGCAGAAGTGTGACCAGAGGTTGCTAGAGTTAAGAATGACAATATCAAAAACAAAACAAACAAACAAAAAAAAACCTATGATGAAATTATAGAAAGTAAAGCAAAAAAAAGTGTAAAATACAGGCACAAAAAACTCAAAAATACAGCAGTTGCATGCCATGGTGAAATGGCTAAGACTATGCAGTCCCCATAGGCCTGACAGTTAAGTCATGCTCAACATATATAAAGACAATAAAAACTTTGTCTTTCTGTCTAGCATAATGAGATCAAGGCATCCATGTTGTTGCAAATGACAGGTTTTCCCTCTTTCTCATGGCTGAGTAACATTCCACTGTGTGTACCATAATTTCTTTATCTATTCACCCATCAATGTACACTTAAGTTGCTTCCACATGGTGGCTACTACAAATTATGCTGCAATGAACATGGGAAGCATATACCTTTTTAAGTTAGTGTTTTCATTTTCTTCGAACATATACATCCAGAACTGGAATTGCTGGGTCATACCGTAGTTCTACTTTTATTTTCTGAGGAACCTCCATACTGTTTTCCACAGTGGCTACACCAATTTACATTCCCACCAACAGTACAAAGGGTTCCCTTTTCTCCACATCCTCACCAGCACTGGTTCGCTCTTGCCTTTTTGATAACAGCCATTCTGACAGGTGTGACATGATATCTCATTGTGATTTTGATTTGCATTTCCCTGATGATTAGCAATTTTTAACCACCTTTTCATGCACCTGTTGGCCATCTGCATATCTTTTTTGGAAAAATGCCTATTCAGCTCTTCTAACCATTTTTCAAACAAATTATATTTTGTTTTTGTTTGTTTTGCTCTTCAGTTATATGTGTTCTTTATATATTCTGGATATTAACCCTTTATTATATTTGCAAATATAAGTCCCTTATAAGATATAAGGGATATAAACCCTTATCAGATTTGCAAAACTAAGTAGATTTAAAACAAAACACACACAAAAAAAACCTCATAAGAACAGAGTAGAAGTGGTTGCCAGAAGCTAGAGCATGGGAGAAACAGGAAGAGGCTGGTAAAAGGCAGAAACTTTTAGCTACAAAATGAACACGTTCTCCAAGGGTCTCACGTACAACATTTTGACTATAGTTGATAACGGCATATTATATAATTGAAATTTGCTGAGAGTAGAACTTAAATGTCCTCAAATAAATAAATAAATAAATAAAGATCTGAGATGATAGATGTGTTAGTTAATTAGATTGCTAGAATCCTTTCACAATGTATATGAATATCAAATCACCAAGATGGATACTTGAAGTATCTTACAATCTTGTCAATTATGCCTCAATAAAGCTGAAAAAAACATTAAAAAAAACCCAATATACATGGCACATATAAAAAGGTTATATCCTAAACAGTTCAAATGCCTAAATAGGTGCTACTGAAAGATCGAAAGGTGTAAACCTGCAGCTATCTAGAACTTCACATATTTAAAATTCATCTGATTCTTAAACCTTAATAACATCTCATTTACAATGTACTAAACAATTGTTTTCACAAATATAAGATCTGTTTTATCACAAGATAAAGGCCTGATGTCTAGTGAGGGCTCTAGGGGATGAACTGCTGAGAATCTCCTACCTGGGAGTCGCCCCTGCCTCCCTCCTCAGGAGGGGGCAGATGTGGGCCTGGCCACAGTCCAGCACACAGCTGGGCCACCTGCTGGAGCAGCAGAGGCTTCCGGCACTAAAGAGAAGCACATGGGACGTGGCCAGGCTACCATAGGCTCTTCCTCATGGACGGACCACGCCACCAGCAGGCCGAGGGTGGGAGAGCCTGAGACTGAGCTTTGGCACTGGTATGAGAAGTGAGGCAGCGCCATGGGCCTTGCGACACGCCACATGCCTCCACCAGAGCTCCATACCCAGATCTGGGGCACGAACCCGCCTACCAGCACCTCATTTCCCATGGGCTATTATTTCTCATACATGTAGCTCCTTCCGACACCTAAATGGGTCAAGCAAGAGTTGAGTCTTCTGGTCCAAATACTATCTTCTAGCTTCCAAACCCTCATAACCACCCTAAACACTGAGTTTATTTTACAGTGATTTCTTATTAAAGATTTTAAGTTCTTATCAATCTTACTCTACATATTTAAATTGAAGAAAAGTACTGAGACACTAGGAATCAAACAAGAATAAGACAGGAATTATATTAAAGATGACAAAATTCTCACACAGAGATGTCAAATACTTTGCCCCAAATCACACAATTAAGTCCACTGTTGACTAGCGAATCAAGAGTCACTCTTCACCCTCAGACAAAACAATCTCCCATAGCCTGGTGC